CTATGTAACCCTTGATCCCAGACTGGGGTGTAAGAGGTGTCACTGGTTCTTGATGATCAAATTTGATTGAATTCCATTCAATCGTTTGCAATTAGTTACATTTTCAACCTTTGACCTATGAACTTTCACCTATGAGGTTAAGAGTATTTTTCATATTTAGAAGGTCCTAAGGATCATTCCTGGTAAATTTGAGCTAAATTTGGCTATTTTTAAAATTTAACCCTGATACCCCTATATCTAACAAATGATGGAGGAGTTGTCGCCGGTTCTTAAAGACGAAATTAGTAGCATTTTGAGGACAAGATTGTGTATGTTATTTGTGACAGAAGTCCTTCCTTTATTCATTTTTTAAAACTCGTTTTCCCTAACGACCCCTATGTGACCTTTGACCCCAAGCAGTAAGCACCTCATGTATGAGAGGTGTTACCGGTTATACTGACCAGATATGGTTGAAATCAGCACAGCCGTTTGGCACTAGTAGCGTTTTGAAATGTTTCCAGAAAAAAGATAAAAATTAACCCTTAATGACATTTGACCCCTTATCCCTGAACACCCTATAGATTCTGCCTTATGGCAATGTATATGTGCAAAGGACAAGACTGTGCTACGTTATTTGTGAGAGAAGTAGTCTTTTATACGATTTTTTAAAATTTTGTCAGAAAGAAAGAAAGAACTAGAGATACTATGTTCAATAGAACATGAACCCAGTCATTTTCAGGATTTGACCACCCATGTTTGGTAGGAGTCTGTCTAATGCAATTGGTCCAATGGTTAGTCTAAACTACTATCTGCTACTAAATCCTTTCCGAGCCACTGTGGCTCATAGGGCTGGCGCTTTTCCCCAGTTTCTGTATTGTGAAGCGGATGAGAGTTGTACTCCCCTTAGACGGGACACTAGTCCATCGTAGGTTAGTCCCCAAAAGTTTGCTGGTACCCATTGATACAGCTGGGTGGACTGTAGCAATATAACTAAAGGGCCTTGCCCAAGGACACAAGCGAATCTGCACAGCGGAGACTCAAAACCCTGACCTTACGATTGAAAACACAAACCTCAACCACTGCACCAAACTGCCGCTATCAATCGTTAGTCACTAGCAATATTTGATAATTTTCACAAAAATAACCCTTGTGACTTTTGACCTATAGGCGAAAAGTATTTTTTTTCATGTTTAGAAGGTCCTAATAAGGATCATTCCTGGTAAATTCGAGCTCATTGGGCTATTTTGAAAATTTGACCCCTATGCAACCCCTGATCCTAGACTGGGGTGTAAAAAGTGTCACTGGTTCATAATGATCAAATTTCAGTCGTTTGCCATTAGAAACGTTTTGAACCTTTGACCTATGAACTTTGACCTATCAGGTGAAGAGTATTTTTTTGTGTTTAGAAGGTCATAAGGATCATTCCTGGTAAATTTGAACTCAATTGGGGCTATTTTAAAAATTTAACCACGATGACCCCTATGTGACCTCTGATTCCAGACTGGGGTGTAGGAGGTGTTACTGGTTCTTAATGACCAAATTTGATTGAATTTGGTCCAATAGTTTGCCATTAGTAGCATAAACGCATACGTCTCAAATCAATGCCGCAGCCTAGACATCATCAACGTCTATGACAAGCAGCGCATAGTGGTATTCGACTACACAAGGTCAATGGAAGAAAAAGTCAACTACACAATTATTGAACAGCTCAAGGATAACGTTTTATTCAACAGTAAGTATGAATGCAGACAAGATGTACACGTCATAATATTCGCTAACTTCCAACCAAACTTGGCTGCATTATCAGCCCACAGATGGCTCGTTGTACAATTAGCTAACACTCAATTGGTGTAATAATGTTCTAAAATCACTCGATAACCATTTTCAATATCTTGTTCATCTCCAATGTCGTCTATGTGTGTTTCTTAACCTTAGCCGGGTCATCAAAGCGCTTCAATATTATCAATTATGGTATGCCTAACACGCTTCATCATCAAACAATGACTTATCGTGTATACGATAACAAAATATTTTCACAAATCAATTCAAATAACGTCATAATCATGAAAAAACTATAAAATCGTTGTGGCCACTGCGATTTTACCGTTTTTCCATTATTTATGGCTTCATATGAAGTGATTCGTGAAGTTATTATTTATCCTTTTTGAATCGTCCTAGTGTAAAAACTTCCTTATTTCTTTTTTGTTCTCTATGAACAATTGTTTTTTTTAGCTTTTTATCATTATCGTTGCAAGTATAGACAGGCCTTAAACCTTGTCCAAAACGCACGTCCCCGGCAGCCTTCACGTATCGATACATAATGACAAACAATCAATCAGCCAACGCCTTACATACGCACAGCTAATTGACTGACCAAAATGTGGGGCGCTATCGTTATAGTTTTCGTCGCAAGTATAGACAGGCCTTAAACCTTGTCCAAAGCGCACGTCCCCGGCAGCCGATACATAGTGACAGACAATCAATCAGCCAACGGCTTACATACGCACAGCTAACTGACTCAAATGTGGGGCGCTTTCTCATTGTCGGGCCGCCAACAAGAAGAAAACCGCGCTTAACAACGTGGTGTCGGTGGGGAACAGGCCGAACGGTAAACGGACACGCGATCAGTCGGCCTGTGAACACTGGTACTGGTACTTGTAGCCGTCTGATTTCAGATATTCGGCAGCCATTGACATTACGTTGGCGTTAAAACACTGCATATTGTGATGAGGGGCCGGTGTACAATCAATTACCAAACACAAAAAATATGGAAAACTGAATGCTATTTACAAAATATTCTATTTAATGCTTATGGGTGAAACTTCCTTTGATAAATTGGCTTCTATCAAGCATTTAGTGCGTGTTTGGCCGTCAACTTTCGTAACAATAGCCACAGTCCATTAGGAATAGGAAAAGTGGTGTAACTATAGTACTCCATTTAGTTTGCGCAAAACCTAAAAATGTTTCGGTTGCGCACTCGAACACGAACGTCCCGACAAATATCGCGACATCTTCGTCCTCGACCGACGGGAAAGCGGTGGAACGATCACCGAACACGAACATCTATAAGAACGTCCTCACACTCATCACATCTCACACGGTCGCCAACAACGAAGAGATTCGCACTACCAGGAACTCTGCTACACTCGACTTTTGTAGGGCGCCATCAACGGCTATATCACCATCTTCAGGTCCCTTAGGAAATTCTAGGCTAAGCTACCTGATACAGACGTTGGGGGCGCTATGACAATATCGCGAAAATGGGTATTCACGCTAAACAAGCCAACCGACGGGGAAAAAACCTCATCCACAGACTAGAAACATGGGAAGGCGAGCGGAACAGATGCGGATTAACTCACATACGAATGTCTATGGAGCGAGGAGAACAAGGAACGCCTCACATTCAAGGCTGGCTGTGCTGAAAGAAAAGACAACACTGACATACTGCAGAACCAATGAGAGGCAGCATTCAAGAAAACGAAGATTACTGCACCAAAGAATATGAATGGGCGAAAATATCGGGAAACATCGAAGAGGTACCAGACAGAAGAGGCTAGCATTTTGAAATGTTACCAGAGAGAACAAAATAATTACCCTTTAATGACCTTTGACCCTAAATGGCTGAAAACCATAGAGACCCTACCTTATGCTAATACACATGTGCCCAGGACAAGACTGTGTATGTTATTTGTGACAAAAGAAGGCTTTTTTAGCCAAATGACCCCTATATGACCTTTGACTTAAAGCAGTGAACACCACATTTTTGAGGGGTTTCACCAGTAATACTGACCAAGTTTGGTTGAAATCGGTACAACCGTTTGACACTAGTAGCGTTTTGAAATGTTTCCAGAAAAATGATAAAAATTACCCCTTAATGACCTTTGACCCTTATCCCCCAACACCCTATAGACTCTGCCTTATGCCAATGTATATGTGCAAAGGAGAAGACTGTACTACGTTATAAAAAAAACCGAAAGGTCCACTGATTAATCTCAGATAAGAAAGTATAATACATACTCCAAGTATTGAAATACACGCCATCGTGTTGGGATTCAATATTTCGACATTAATTATGTCATCATCAGGAATGATGATGATGACATAATTAATGTCGAAATATTGAATCCCAACACGATGGCGTGTATTTCAATACTTGGAGTATGTATTATACTTTCGTACTACGTTATTTGTGAGAGAAGTAGTCTTTTATATTAATAAAATCTGTCCAGTAGTTTGCCACTAGTAGTCTTTTAAAATGTTGCCAGAAAGAAAGAAAGAACTAAATATACTATTGTAATAATTAAGCCTGCTTTGAGACCATGAAATAACAACGACGAACATTAGATAACGTATAAAGCTGATTTTAATAACAAGGTTGTATTTCACCGTGTACACGATGGACTGTAGCCAGCTTGGTAGCCCCTAGCATCTAGAGAGGGCGCTGGACCGATAATCTTTATAATAGATATTAAATCCCTCCCTTTGTTTAGATTGAATTTAAATTAGCTTTAGATGATTACAGTATATATTTGTCTTCTGTTATGTACTTTTATGGGACTTTAGCAGATTACCAATAAACAGCTGACATTCAGATTACAATGTCTAATGTATATATATATATATATATATATATATATATATATATTTTTTTGTTGTTGTTGTTGTTGTTATGCGTCAATTAACTTTAAAATTTAAACACGAGCACAGCTCATCAAACAAGTTCTAAACTAATTTTAAACAGTGCACTTGAACTCAGTGCTTTAACAACAACTTTAAATATCAATTTTCTGAATTCACAACAACAGTTTAAACTTCCTTTCAGAATTTTAGAAGTGATATGCTTATGTTTAAAATAGAAATGTTCATTATTCCGTCACGTAGTCATGTAAGCTTGTGGGAGGTTTCTTGATTCTAGTAGAGTGTCGAGTTGGAGTGAGCTGCGGTTTGGTTATTGGTGCTCTGGTGGTTGGTTGTGATTCGTTTTCCGTTATGCATTCTTTATTTTGCATGTTCGATAGCTTCTAGAAAAGGGTACAGTTTCTGGTGACAGAAATTTCGCCTTGTTGTGCTGTTATACAATTTCCCTTCCTTTCGACGACAACAAAAGGTTCCGGATTAAATGGAGGGTCGAGCATATTTCTACGTTTCTGCTTAATGAGTACTTTGTCACCGATGTTTATGGTTGTTGGTTTAGCGTGTAAGTGTTTATCAGCATTGGCTTTCATTGCGTCTTTCTTCTTTCTGTCCTTTCCGCGGATGCATTGATGTATGCCTGTCGATTTATCTTTGGCTTGTGGAAGAGTTGTTTTAAGTTTTCTTCCATTGAGAGCCTCACTAGGCGATTTGCCCTTAGTTGAATAAGGTGTGGCTCTATATTTGCGAAGAAATGTCCAAAGTTCCTGTTTCCAGTTAAGTCCAGATGTAGTACTTGTGTGTACTAGCTTGAGAAGCGTACGCATGAAGCGTTCTGCTTCACCGTTGGCACGTGGCCACAATGGAGTACATTTCTGCGAGAACTGCGAAAATTCAAAACCATTAAATGGAGGTCCATTATCGCTTTTTACAATGTCCGGTATGCCTTGGCGGGCAACGACAGCGTCCAGTTTCGGAATTGTAGATTTTGCAGAGGTAGACGATACGATTTCGACTTCTGGAAACCGGCTAAATCGTCTATGATTACCAGTAGATATTCTCCTGTAGGAAAAGGTCCTTTAAAATCTATGGATACTTCTTTCCACTGACTTTCTGGAAGCTTTGACATTCTCAGTGGCTTTGGTGGTGAACCGATCGATGATGACGATTGACAGGCAATTCTTGACTTTGCGCTCTACCATACTGTCTATTCCTGGGAACCAGACTTTTTCGCGTATTAGCTGCTTAGTTTTCACTATGCCCTGATGGGACTTGTGTGCTAGATCTACTGCTCGTAATCTTAGGCTTATCGGAAGGACTATTCTTGTGTCACGGAGTATCACATTGTCTTTAACTGAAAATTCATGTTTAATTGCTTTGAAGTCTGCGATATCAGAATCTTTCCAACAGCTTGCGTTTCCTTCCATAATAGCTAGTTTCAGCTTCTGCATTGCAGGGTCGCTTTGTGTTTCATTACTCACTTCGGAGTGTGTCATTGCTTTTGGAACTGCGTTTCTGCAAACATAGTTTACATAATCATCAGCTGTTTGTGATGTTCGGTCTACTGTGTTGACAGTTACAGGGTGTCTTGACAGGTAATCGCTTGGCTTATCTGTTCCAGCTTTGAAGTTAAGTGTGAAGTTGTATTGTTGCAATCTTAGGAGCCATAGTTGGATTCTCGCTGTAGGTTTTGAGTTTTTGTTATTAAAGAGTGATAACAGTGGCTTATGGTCCGTATATACTGTGAACTTGCTGCCAAAGAGATACATATGAAAATGCGTAATTGCCCATGTTACTCCGAGGGCTTCGCGTTCAATTGCGAGTATCTCGATTCTGTGTTTGTTAGTTAGTGTACGGCTGGCATAAGCTACCACACGGCCTTCTTGACATAACATTGCTCCGAGGCCCGTTGGGCTCGCGTCTGCGACCACAACTGTTGCTAGGTTAGGATTAAAGTAAGCTGTAACATCTGCTTTTGCTAACTTATCCTTCAACTGGATAAACGCTTGTTGCTCAGTTTCTCCCCATGTCCATTCGACGTTGTTGTGGGTGAGCAGTCGCAAAGGTGTTGACAGTGATGCATAACCCGGAATGAAACGTGATACGTATTGCGCCATTCCTAGAAAAGATCGTATTTCTTTTGCGTTCTTTGGTGGTTTCATGTTGACAATCGCTGCAATTTTCTGGGGGTCAAGACTAACGCCGTCTCCAGAAAATATATGACCAAAGAAGCTGACTTTTGTCTTTGAGAAAGTACATTTGTCTTTATTTAGACGAGCGTTACAATTTTTCAAGCGTTGTAGCACCGCTTTGAGGTTATCATCGTGTTCCTGTTTAGTTGTTCCACAGACTACTATGTCATCCGACATATTGCGACAACCTTTGAGACCTGCAAGCATTCGTGCAACCGTGTTTTGAAATATCTCCGACGCTGCGTTAACGCCAAACATGAGACGTTTATAGCAGAAAAGACCAGAGTGTGTAGTGAATTTAGTATAGCGACTGTCCAGATGAAGTTCAAATTGATGGTATCCTGCTTTGAGGTCTAGTGTGCTGAAAAATTGCGCTTTGTTAAGGTCTGTGATTATTTCTTCAGTTGTAGGTATAGGGTGTTTTTCGCGTTTTATAGCAAGTTTCGCTTCTCTCATATCAACGCAGATTCTGACTTCGTTTGACTTTTTGGGCACGGCAACTACTGGGCTTATCCATGGAGTGGGCCCTTCTGCGCGTTCAATTATGTCGTCCGCTATTAAACGATTGATTTCTTTGTCCACATCCTTTCGTACGTAAAATGGTATTCGACGATGTTTCTGAATTTTCGGCTGGACGGTCTAATCTATGTGTAATTTAATTTGCTCACCTTTTAACTTTCCCATACCGTTAAATAGTTCACTAAACTCATTTACTATTTTGTCGGTGTTCGGTGGTGTAACGCTGTTGGTTATTTGTAACAGACCTAAATCTACTGATGTTTGGTATGACAGAAGATTACCCGCATTACCGTTTACAATGCTGAAGGAGGCGGTGACTTGACGTTTGTTGACAGTTATTTTAGCTTTTATTTCACCCATGACTGGAAGGGGGTGCAATGCATTATATGCAAAGAGTTGTGCTTTTTATTTACGCAAACATGTATTTGGAGCTGCTGCTGTCTTCTTCAGTTTATTGACTGTATCGCTGTCCATAATATTGACGCTTGCTTGTGAGTCATTTCCGGCTTTAATTTTCACCCCTGCAATTTCTACTTCGCAACTTGGGAGGCCCTTTTTTGTTAAACGCTTGTTTGCGAATACATATTCCTCGTCTGAACTCTCGCTCTAGCCCTTCCTCTACTACGACAATATGATTTCTTTTACCGCACGAATGGCATGTCTGACCTGCTGCAGGGCACAGCTTTCCCTGTTTGTGTGGGTATACGTCCCCACAGTTATGGCATGTTGTGGTGCGATTATGAGCTGGCTTAGGTTTCGATATAGGTTTAGTGTATCTCTGGTTGTATGTTTTAGGTTTGAAAAGTTTATTTACTTCCGCTGCTTGCTGCTGTGTATTTCCACTGTACTCATTCATCGACTTTAATTGCATGACTGTGTGCTCATGCGCACGAATGAGAGCTGATGCAGAGTCTAAAGTTACTACCTTGTCTGAATTTAACAGTTTCTCTCTAATTTTGTGATTTCTTATTCCTATTATTACCTGCAGATCTTTAATTAATGACGTTTTTAGATCTTGAAATTCACAGGGCTCAGCCAACGTTTTCAAAACTGTGACGTATTGGTCGATCGTTTCGCCTGAAGGCTGATGTCTATTGAAAAAAACGTTTCGCTCATACGTCACATTTTTCCTCTGTTCACAGTAGTTTTTGAACTTTTCTAATACCTTCTCAATTTTCTTTTCGTCCCCTTCTTCCCAGTCGATTCTTCCCAGTCGAATGTATTATACACGACAAGCGCCTCATTTCCGATAACGGAGAGCAACGTGGCTACTCGAGTGGCGGACGGTTTGCTGCTGACCTGTAGCTAGTTCGTAGTTGTCCCAGCGTTGTTTAAACTGCTTCCATTTCGTATGGATTTGTTCACCTGTGAGATCAAGCTGTCCCGGGACGGGTAGCATAATTCTGTTCATCTTCGTCGCCAATGTAATATTTAAGCCTGCTTTGAAATAACAACGACGAACACTAGATAACGTATAAAGCTGATTTTAATAACAAGGTTGTATTTCACCGTGTACACGGTGGACCGTAGCCATCTTGGTAGCCCCTAGCAACTAGAGGAGGTGCTGGACCGATAATCTTTATAATAGATATTACAACTATGTTCAATAGAACATGAATCCAGCCATTTTTTTAAGAGATAACCACTGAGACCTTTAAGCTCAACCTGTGTGAACACCCCATGTTTGGTAGGAGTCTGTCTAATGCAATTGGTCCAATCATTACTCACTAGAAATCATAATGAAAACTTTTCCTCTATTTGCGAAAAAAGCTCATTCAGGTAAATTTAAACTACATCTTATGCACGAACGCACTAAACGCAGAAAACTCGAAATTCCTAAATGCTATTGGCCTTAAGCACGTGACGTCATTCATAGACAGGGTAAAAACAGTTCTGAATACAAAATTGTAAAGAAAAAAATGATTAATGGTTATTTAAGCAACCAGCATGGTAAAAGGAAGCTTAATTTATGAGTTACAATTTTAGCGACCTGTCGTTGCATAGTTATGTTAAAAAGAAGCAGGAAGTATACCAAAAAACACTCTAATGTTAACCTTTTTCCTATGCAAATGCATAAGAGATAGTCAATTTTGAAAGAAAAATGATCACTCAATTTTGCATTAATTGTAAAAATATATAGATGATTATAAAGCTTAAAACATCTAGTTTCATAATCCGATCGCCTCAGATTGCCAAATGAAACCATTTAAAGTATATATTTATTTTTGTGAGAAAAAGGGGTCCGGTTTTGACTCATTTACTGTGTTAAAGTGTGCAGTGAACCGTTCAGTGAGCAGATGTCCTCAAATTTTCATTATGATTTGATAATATTCACTATAGTGACCCTTGTGACTTTGACCTATAGGTGAAGAGTCGTTTTTCATGTTCATGTAAATTCCAGCTCAATTGGAGTTGGAAATGTTACCCAGATCCCAGACTGGGGTGTATAGTCCGGGGGCATATGTCCAAAAATAGGCTCCCATGGGATTTTGTGATCATTTTAGTTTTTTGGATGAAATATATACTTTGAAGTATGCTGAATCGAATAAAATGAGTCGCCATTTTTTTACGCTCATCTTCATATGCAAATTAGCGGAAATATGCAAATTAGGTCTGAAAATGTAGGGTACTTGTATCTTGGTAACCACATGTCGTAGAAAGTTGCTTCTTTCTTAAAGTTGTTCAGAACATGCATAATTCTATTTACCCTAATGGAACATTTTCTTCAAAAATGACCGGAAGTGCCATTTTGCCGACCTTATTAGCATAAATATGCAAATTAGGGGTGGAAATATAGGGAGCTATATCTTGAAAACCACTGGTCGTACAGAGTTGCTTTTTGCAGCAAAATGTTTACAACATGCATATTTATCTTTACTTTTAATGGACAATTTTCTCTAGAAATGACCAGAAATTGCGTTTTTGACCTTTGACCTCAACTTTGCTTGATTTTAATATCTTGGCAACCAATGGTCGTATAGAGTTGCTTTTTGTAACAAAATGTTTACAATATGCACATTTATACTCTAACAGAATAATTTCTCAATATCAACCAGAAACTTTTTAATTGACCGTTGCCCTATCTTTGCAGTATATAGGCCTATTATATATGTATATATGCCTAATGATGACTTATGGTCGAAAGTATTATTACAACAATTGTATTATTACTTGAATATACATATATAGGCTTATATATATATGTATGTATATATATATATATATGTATATATATATAAATCATTAAAGAAAGGTAAATACAGTGTTCGAATAAAGGACATAATAATACAACGTGTACCAAGGCTCTCAACGAATGTAGTCCTGTAAATAAACGAATAAAGATATTGTGTAATAAACTGCCTCTGGCGGGACTCGAACCTACGATCTCTCGCTTTTATATATACACGCACACACACACACACACATA